GGTTGGAACTGGATGATCTGAAGGTCCTTTCCAACCCAAACTATTCTGTGATTCTATGGAGTCATGTCCTTGTTGTAATTCCTTTTGAGAGCAGGTTGTTGGTGCTGTGAAGAGCTCAGGGCGAAGCGCGCGTTCCGCAGGCGGTGATGTCCATGGCTGCTGCTGCCCATCGGGAGCATCGGAGGTGAGACCTCAGCTCTCTGCTGCTCTGTTCCCGTGGGTTTGTTTTCACAACAGTGGTGTTTGTGTCACAGACCAAGGGGCTGCAGCAGCCACACAGTGCCAGTAACTGTGAATGCTGTCAGATGGTGATGGGTGAAAGTACCATCAGGTTAAGTAAAGGGATTTATAAACACAGTGGAGGTAAGGGAAAGGGAAAGGGACTTTGCTGCTGCTGGAGAGCACCACACAGCAAATGCTGCCTCACCTGGGGTACTGCTCGAAAACACGCCTGTGCTGCTCACGAAGCCAAGTCTGAGGATTTCTGTAGCCTTTGCAGGAGTCCAAGAGCTTCTCACTTGGAAGGAGAGAGGGAAAAGGAAAAGGAAACAGGCAAAGGAAAGTCGAGGCCGTTGCTTTCATCTCTGTTAGTTCTATGTGTTACTGTCATCCCCACTTCCCCCTCCAAAAACCCAACCATCCCAACCCAGCGTTTCTGGGTGAGAGGCTGGGTTTAGGCTGAGAACTGAGTAACCAGTCTTTAGATAAGCAGCTTTTTGACTATTAAATGTAGCAGGCACGGGGCTGACACAGCTTCGTGCTGGCAGCTGCCTTCGTGTCTGCCTTTGTGATGGAGAGAAGACAGATGTTCTCCTTGGCACGTAAGAAAGCTGCTGCTCAGCAAAATGAAATGTGAAATCAGAGTGAAGGGTGCAGCAGAGAGCAGTGACTGGCCAGCCTGCAAGCTGAGACAGCCTGATGTGAACGTCATGAGGTGGGTTCTTCTGGGAGTCAGCAACTGCTGTGTCATTATTTAGAAGCTATAGAGAAAGGATCTTTGGTTTTTCCAGCTGTGTTAAAATCTTGATGCATGGCACTCAGTATCCAGTGAGATGAATCCCAGGCCAACGGGTGGAGATGCTTAAGTGATGCAGCAGTTGGCAGCCATAGAACCCCTGCAGCACGTGGTGGTCTGATGGATTGGGTTCCTGTGATGACTGGGTCACAAAGGAAAACATGAGAGTTTCCTGTTTAATGTTCCTGTGGATTCTGTTGTCAGGTGAGTTTGGGGGCTGCCTCCAGCATGACAGGATCCACTTCTAGCACCGGAAGCCAGAGCCACATAGGAGGAGCTCATCCTGCGGAGAGCCTGGTGTTCTGCAGCCCCTCTCTGTCCCGTGGCAGAGTAAGTCCATGTTCACTGGTGTGGAAGGGCCAAGGAGAGGGAAAACCCTGCGGGTGAGGTAGGTGGATGCCGAGGGCTCTGCCTGTGGCAGGGGGTCCCTGGGCCAGCGGCCTGCAGAAGGCTCCCATGGGCCCGATGCAGGGGGCTGGGCCCTGCTCTGCTCTCAGCACATCCCTTCCCCTCGGCGTGGGTCTCTGTGAACGCTCAGGGGTGGCAGCAGAATTGAGCACAGTTCAGACCTGGTGCCCGCCTCCCCAGCTGGTCCAGGGTGGCCGTGGGCACATGCTGGGCACGGGCATCCCCCGGTCAGAGCTGGTTTAGGGAAGGCTGAAGGCTTTGAGCTGCAGTTGAGAATGAGCAGCTGCAGCGCTGCACAGACGCCTCCTGCAGCAGCAGGGTGCTCCTGCTCCCAGCTCTGTGTCCAGGGACAGATCCACCCCCGGAGTTCTAATTGAATACAACGTGTAGGTCATTGTCTTGCACTTCAACCACTGGCAGCAACTGTTCAGTGCTGGGCTTGGCCTCCTCCCGCAGCATCTTTCGGCCCATACTGAGGGTGCTCCTGAGATCCGTGAGCTTGCTGTGACCTCCTGAATGCCCAGGGAAAGTGTGAGATTAGAGAGCTGGAGGTGGAAGCGGTGCCTGGGGCTTCCTCTCCCCTTACCTTCTCCCCAGAAACGCCTGGTGAGCAGCAGCGTCTCCCTGGGTGCGCGTTTGGACAGGATTAGGCTTGGACTTCGCTACAGTCACGGAGGTTTGGAGGCTGAGCAGGAGGGGGAAGGCCTCGTAGCTGCATGGTTTCACTCCGGGCTTTGCCACCGGTCAGGGGTGAGTGAGATCTGCCCAGGTCTGCTGCTCCCTTTCGAGGCTCGTGCCCTGCTGTGGAGCAGGAGCCCCGCAGGGCATTGGGTGTCACTTGTGGTGTGGAGCGGTGCTTGCGGGAGCCTCCCAGCACCAATCGTGGGTGGAGCAGCCCTAGGAAAGCCCTGGGACAGAGCACTCCCTTGCACAGACCAGAGATGCAGGGGCTGCTGCTTTGTGTGCTGTGACAGGAGAGCACCAAGGGGAAATGGGAGAGCTTTGTCTGCAGGGCAAGGCAGCTGCTGTGGAGCTCTATGTAACTGCAGTTAGATTCAAGCAAATTATCTGTTCTGGCTCTTCTGCACAGGACGTGCGCTTGAGAGAGCTGCTCCGCAGAGGTGCAGCATGTTCCTGTGGAAGGAGAGCTCTAACAATTCTTAAATCAGTATGGTTTAGTTACTGAATTGGTGCATTTTCTGTTGTTGGCCCTTCAGGATGAAGTGTGCTTCACCACTGTCTGCTGGTCAGTGTACCTGGAGCTGTATCCATGCCAGAGGATGGGGAAGCTCCTGTGCCAGGAGGATGCAGACTGGTTGGTTTCTTCCTTCACTCTTCCTCAAGAAGGATCTAAAGACAGTGGTGATGGGGCCAGCACCAGTGAGTACAGCCCCGGCACAACCTGCATCTGAAACCCTCCCGACGCGCGGTGCCAGGGCATCACTGAGCAACGTGACTCGGTGGTGTGGGGTTGGCTCCATTCCGGCAGCCCTTGTGGCTGGGTCGCAGGCTGCCAGTGCTGCTGCTGCACACAGGCCTCTGGAACAGGGTTGCAGGAGCGTTGGGGTGCTGTCAGCATGGGCTGCTTTGGCCTCCCAGCAGGACCTGGTTTGCTCCCCACTGGCCCCAGCACAGCCTGTGGAGCAGGATGTCCTGCTGGTGCCAGACAGCTCCATCTCTGGTGTTGGGCTGGTTACACCTTCCTGTGTTGTGAACAGTCCAGTTGTAAGGTCCAGCAGGTCAGCTGCACTGTCAGTGTGGCTGCCTTACATGCGGCCGCAGCAGTGGCAAGAATCTCAACATGCATCCGACAGCACTGCAGCTCTCCTGAGCACAGGCACGGTGTGGTACCTGCTGCCTGCTGCTGGGGTTGCAAAGGGGATAAATGTTGTGCAATTAAGTTCCCAACAACCCCCAGGGTGAGGAAGATCCCCTGGGAAGGTTCCCTGTGGTCAGGTACCTGCAGCACTGTTGGTGCTGCACACATCTGTTGTTGGTACAGATGTAGCAAGTACACAGGCAGCAGCACTGCCCCTGTGCTACACACGGATGCACATGCCTGTTGCATCAAGCCGTCACTGTCTACTCTGTGTGTTTGTGTGTGAAGTTCATGTTCACAGCTAAAATAGCTTGGAATACATAGAAACTGCATCCAGGAGTGATGGATGCACTGCTGAACGATGCAGAAAGATGCAAATTCCATCCCTGGTGTATTTGGGATGTCAGGTCTGGTTTCTAAACTAAACCCCTGCTTTGAATGGAATTAACACAAATAATGTGGTCTGTGTGTATGCACAGGGGTGAGGTTATGGATGCACAGTGGGAAGTTACCTTTTGTTTAGGTCAGAGAAGATAAGCCACGACAAATAGTGTAGGACTTAGTAATCATGTGAAGTATGTGTGTAGGGTCCAGTTTCTCTAGGCCATGGTGCCACCCTTCGTGTAACATTACTAATAATGAGAAAGATTATGTGGCAGAAAAATGTCTGTGTTTTAACCTGTATCACATAGAGAACAGAGCAGGGTAAGTTACTGACCTGAAAGGCAGCCATGCTGCTGGTCCTGCATCACGTAGGCCCCAAAATGTTGGTGCAGGGATGCTTTTTCCTAACAGGAAGCCAGCTCCCATCAGGAAGCAGACTGTGAGGCTCTCTGTCACCGGCCTCCCTCCCAGGGGCTCTTAATGTGTGCGTGTATTTAGCTGCTTTCCATGGACATGGGGAGAGGGCTGTGGCTCAGCTGCGTTAAACTCATCAATGCTGGATGTGTCCTAATGGGACCTCCCAAACCCAGCCACTGACTGGAACAGTCTCACCTGTTCCAGTGACACTGAAATCCATTACCCCTACCTGGCTTTTCAAACCATTCAGGCACGTCCAATACACCAGTAACTTTGTGTCTCCTTGGGTTTAGGGTTTCCTCCTCTAATTCCAGAGACTCCTCCTACATTCAGTTGAAGTTCCTCTGAAGGCTTGGGCACGGTTCACCCAACTTCCTCAAAATCAGGTAATCAGGTTTTTAAGGATTTTGGTTTTCAGGATTAACCATTCCCAGTCAAATGAATGAATGGAAAACACTCACTGGAAGTGCTGCTGGCCCGAAGCACAAGCCCCTCGATTTCTACCTTGGAAATACAGCTGCCTTCAGCAGGGATAGAGCCTGAAGAGGGACAGACCAGGATGAGGACACTGGTGTCTGATGAGCCATGCAGGAACCGGCTTCCCTGACCCCCCCCAGCCCATGTCCTCCCAAGCAGTGCCCCCCCCATCCCACAGCAGAGACACCAACACACGGTGATTTAAGAGCACTTTTATTGTTCTTTAAGGCTACTTTTAAGTACAAAAAACCCCAAAACAAAACAAAACCAAACAGCTGTCTCTTCCCGCCCCATTCCCGGTGGGATGCGGCCGCGGGAGACATATTTTACACATTTACAAACACAGAGTCTGCCAAACGCAGCTGTAGGTGACCCGGCTCCGTGAGGGAACCACCACCACGCACAGCAGTGGCTTCAGTTTAGTTTCCTTCCCCCCCTCCCCACCCCTTTGGCTCTCAGGACATTATTGTGTCTAATACGTGTTTTACCGGACAGGTCGCATTACATCTTTATTGCCCTCAAATCCATTTACCTATCTCAGATAAGTAAATGTAACCTTGTAAAACAGCTCTTATTGAAAACATCAGCTTTAGAAACATCATCTCATTTGTGTTTACAAAGAAATAGAGGAGTCACATTTTCCACAGAGTCCATCTACAGCATTAGTATTTAATGTTACGATGCTCAGTAGCCTGTAGCAATAACAAACTAGTGGCTATTAATGCTAATGCAGTGTTCTCATAGAATAACTGTGTTCCTGCACTTTTACTGTATTACAGACAAATCTACAACAAAAAAAAAAACCAAAAAGATCAACTTTTTTCTCCAAACAAAGAAGAATGATTACAATAAAGGAAAGGGAAAAATTAAATAGCTACATATCATTAACAAATTAATTGTTCCTCAAAAAATACCTACAAATTTCTCTGTACATTCTTTACGCACAGCGTAACGATGGTCTTAAAGTTACCTATATAAAAAAGTGTTCTTTTAACAATCTTCCTACAGAGAGTAGGGTACTGAATGCCAAAGCAAGGAAGCGTTGACTACCCAGTAGGATGGTAGTGAAATGTGTCAAACTGGGGGCTTAGGTGGTGGGGGTTTCATCTGTTAAAGAGAATTGAGCAGCCACCTTCTCAACCAGAGCAAGAGCCAATCTCCCGATCCTTCCAAATTAAATAGCTTAAAAAAGAAAACAAAAACACAGAAGTAAAAGCCACAATGGACCCAATACTGTAACGTAGTCCATAATACATCACATGTAGTTCATCTTCCAGCTAGTTCTAACCTTCTACACTGAACCAATTGTTTCAGGTAACCCAGTAGAAAAACAAAGCCCTAGTTGCAACTGTACTGGGAAGATGGAATGTCTGGGGGAGAGCAGTTACATGTAACAAGAAGAAAAGCTCTTTACTAGCCCAGCTGTGGGTTTACACCTGCCTCTATCGCCTACTTTCTAGTTAGTAGCTATTAATATAGCAAATGATAATAAACGCAGTAATACCTGTATAACGTTCTCTACTGGAGGAATGTATGCTGCAACTCGGCATAGGCTTATGGATAAGCTTAAAAAACCCTAAAGGTCATATTTCACAAACTGTAACAATCTGTTGTCCAGCCGAGATAACCGTTTCTGCAGCTGGTTCAAGGTGGATTACACAGACTTGGGGTCAGGAAGCAAATCCCTGGTTAAGCAGACAGGAACAATGACTCGGTCATGCGCAAAGCTGTAGCATCCTGTACCACGCACCATCTATCTCTGACTGCGTCGTCCGAGGCCTGGCCTGAGGCTGTCCTCTTTGCTGGCTGCTACTAAAGTGAATATCAAATACAAATATCATAGAGTACAACTGTACCAGCAGTAAGTATATCTAGGATTGTTACTGACAAAAATAAACTAATTCTGAAGAAAAGCTAATAAGTATTATGATTCTTACTGTCTATACATTAATAGATACCAGCTATTTTTCATAAAACATGCATCGTTAAGCACTATTGAACCCTCCGACCTCAGCTCTACTCTAGCAAACTGCAGTGTTTAGGAAAAAATGCCCGTGTTCTGTCAATTATGCAGTCCAGTTGCAAGCACTAAAGCACCTGAAATCTAAAGAGAGAAAGACCTATAACCTGTATGAGACTTCCCCTTCCAAAGCGGTTTTGCTTTAAGAAAAAAAATAAATCAAACTGATAGAAATGTCATCCTTAAACCCTTTTTTCAGCAGTTTGCCCTCAAAATATTAGCATCTTCCAGAAAGTTGCTATGCAACTTCAGTCCTCCTCCAATAGTGCAAATCATACATGACAGTTCTTTTCAAGTATATACATACAACGTTACTTCACAGAGGGAAAAAGAACCAAAACGAAACAAAAAACCCCAAAGCAACGTAAGCAAACCAGACAGATTCTAGTTTCAAGAAGCTAATAAAAGCAGAAAGCACTTGGGTCAACCAACTAAGTGTGATGGCTTTTGTGGATTAGCGTGCATTAGTTTTTTTAAGGGGCGGCAGATTTGCATCAGAGGTTTCTTTGGTAACTGAGGCAGGAAAAAAAGGATGCTACATCAGATGAATCGTTATGAAATAGTTCCTGCTATCGTCTTTAAGGGCACCCTTTCACAAACAAAGTGAGTACACAAAAACGTGTGTTCAAAACTAACCTCCCTTCCCCGACACTACCTTAAGCACTGTTCAAAGCTCAGTCAAACCATGCAAATTCACAAGGGTCCCGGTCCTCAGGAGACCACCGAGGGCGAGTGATTATGATTGACCATGTGAGAGGAGGGGGAAGCCTGGCCCCGCCGCGACGCGGACTCGGGGCTGCTCGAGACGCCGTCCTTCGCAGCTTTGATCTGCAGCCACGTATCCCCAAGTGCTTTGGCAAAGTGGTCATCGACCGATCCCGTGATGGACACCGAGTTTGCCACCGGCTCAGGCTCCTTGTAATTCTTGCCAAGGCTTCGGCGGAAGTGCTCTTCCACCACCGGGTCGCAGGCAGTGGTAGCTGCACAGGGGAAAGGAGGCAGAGAGGGCGTTATTTCAGGGCAGAATCCTGGCATTGCTCCTGTTTTCCTCAGCATAAAGCAAGACTTCACAGCAGTACAGAGCTGCTGGTGAATGGAGGGAGTAGATGCAAGGGGTTACAATGAAGAAAAGTCATAAATTGAGTTAAATATCTTTGTATTTCTGCAACCTGCAGCTGTTAAGCGTTTTATATACAGTTTTAATTCTTCCTCAGGCTAGTAACAACTACAGCTCTCGTTCTATTTAAACGCTCTCCCAAACAATCCCATAGAAGCCCTATTTAAATAGGATTAAAGATGGAAGCAGTTCTTTAAAATCAGCTCCCAGGCCTGCTGATACCAGTTGGACATGAGGAGACATCGTTCTGAATTACAGCGTGCCAAACGCTGATTTCAGGGTATCACCTTCCTCTACCTACTTTGTGCTGGGAGCCAGTCTGAAAGCCGACTGATTTAGTGCCTCTGCGTTAGGTACTGCAAGCATTAAAACAGCACCATAGAATTGCAAAAGAAACAACCTTAAAAACCAGGTTTTGCAGAGCAATAGTAGTTGATTCTTCAGGCCCGATGTGAGAGAGCTGCAGTTTTATGCTTTAGAAACATTATCTGTGTCTACATGAGATTTATCTTTAAAGTCCCCTTCAAACTGGCAGGATCCACGCGACTGCCCTTGGTGCCACAGCCAGGCTTGACTGATCCCGAAATACACTGGAGCGTTGGCACCAAGACCTGCTCAAGTGACACGAGACAAGTATTCCCTGACAAGGTTCACCCCTGCTGCAGAGCCCATGTAAATACAGCTGGGGCTCGATGAGGGAGCTCGCCCTGGACAAGTAACAGCAGGTTTCTAGCAAACTTGTGTCCTCTCAGGTCCTTCACACCAGTGCAGGTCTCCTCCAGGGCCCCGCTTCAGTTTTCAACAATACAGGGATGTTCTCTGAGTAACAACCACACACCCACCCACTGTGGAATTCCAGGGCCCTACCTCTGTCTTGCTGGTGCACAGAAGGCAGAAAGCTGATGCGCCCTGCTTGGGAGCAGCTGCCCTCCACAGCAATGTGTGCTACCCACACAGACTGAGATGGAGGGTATTTGCTTCGGAAGAGTATTTGTACCTTCAGGAAGAGGTTTTTGTGACTGCAGCTGAATCTACTGACTCCTGAAGGATTGGAGAAACTGTCTCCATTAGACAGTAACTAAGGACTTACTTGTTTGTGTGGGGCGTGGGTTTGTTTAAAGCAGCTTTCAGAACAAGAAAGAACCCCTCTCTCCCTAATTCTGAATCAGCACTTCCCCTGTGGCACGGGCCCAGCGGCTACAAAGCCTGCAGAGAGGTGGCTGTTGTTTTGCCTCCTTTCATCCCTGTTTGTTAACACATCAGTGCCTACACTGGGCAGAGGGGAACACGGCTGTGCTGCTCTCCCAGGGCGCGAGGGGCAGCGCAGGGTGCACACTTACTGCTGGCGGGCCTCCGGTACGTGAGCACGGCGGAGGCACAGCCGCTGTGCGCGATGGGGCAGTGGGACAGGTTGCAGTTGCGGTTGTTGGCGGAAGCACAGGTGATCACCGAGGGACGGTTCTGAGGGGGACAAGAGAGAAACTGTCAGTCACTGTCAGCCAAAGCTGCAGCAGCAGCAGTTCACTGCAGCAGCACTCGAGAGTGCAGGCACCGAACAGAATCCCAGCAGTGAAATAACCCAGACACCATCCAATTCAGTAAAGAGCATTAGACCCCAAATACTTGGCTGTTGTTTCTTTGCCTGATTAAAAAACCACTACAGTGCATTTCCATCATGGTTCTTAGATATTTTAGTGACAAGCAGCCCTACAGAAAAAGGGCAGTGTAAAAGCAAATCATTAAAAGCACTGAAGTGATTTCGCAGCAACTGTTTCAACTCCACAGACAACATTACATATGCAGAACTAAATGTCAACACAGCAAACACTTGTTCCATTCCGGTGCCACAGATCCCCGTGATCCCAGGACTCAGCCAGGCTTTACACATGTTGCAGGTATTTGCCTCCTTAGTGTTACTTAGTTCTTGATGGCCCCCTTTTTCCTTCAGGAGCTCACTCTTCCCAGCCTGGCTGACCCTGTACTCCCTACTCTGGGCACAAAACACAAGCCCATAAGATTAAATTACAAAGAGCACCTGACTGAGCCTTGACCACAAATACTTTCCTGTTGTAATTACATCTGCTTTTCTAGTGCTGCTTCATACATCACCCTTCTTCATTCTCAACACATGCAAATTCCCCAAAGCGTTCATCCCATAACGTGAATTCCGCAATGGGTACTCTGCACAGTGTAATCATAAAACACTCTTCTTATACTTGTTCACTAGGTACATGTTGCATTGAAACAAGGCCTAAGGAGGAGGAACGTCTGAGTCTTTCAAGTGGCTGAAGGGAAATGAAGGGGATTAGACTATTTTTGCTTTGCATCTTCGGTATGTTTTATGATGCAAGGAGTCCATTTGGCTCCAGCCAATGCAAGTTAACTGGTACGTGTCCAAAGGATTAACTGAGTTGCTGTAATTAACACAGTTTTAATTTCCTGTCCATTTAAAAAACCTGTGCAGCAAGCCCAAAAGAATCACTGCTTTACTTACTACCACATACAGTCAATGAGGAAGGAAAGAGTTTTCATTATGTAGTGTTACTTTAGTATACAGAGTGAGAGCAAGGCCAAAGTGAGAGTTTGGAAGGGAAGGTTTAACAGTGTCTGGACACAACAGGAATGATGCTGTTCACATCTTACTGCAGTGCAGCAAAGTGCAAGAAGTAAATGAAGAATTACTTGATTCTTCTGGAGGCATTTATTTTCTTTTTAGGGACCAAGGCTGTTTGCATCTATGAAGCAAGTTTTGAGAACTGTATATACACTGCTTTCTTTTTAAAGGAGTATTTTAGACATCCAAGAGGTGGGAAGTAGAGACAGAGGCAGGCAGCAAACAAGGGTGCACGTTTGGAAGCAAGTAAGGATCCCAACACCACAGAGGATCTGCAAGGCAGGGTAAGGCATGTGTAGTTCTGTGTGTACAGGTGCTCTGAGCAGACCGCAGATTTAGATGAGAATACTGAGAAAAGCTGAGAATTTATAGCTGAAATACATAGGCATTTTATTTCCCACCTCTTTATTAGAAACAGGGTAAGATGAAAATCCCATTGAACATATTAAGGTGTAAAAAAATCAATCAATCCAAACTCAACAAAAGAACAAATTGTCAAACCTGGGTTTCTGTTGGGTTTTCCAATACACTTTTTGCTCTGGATGATTTCTGCAATGTGCTCTTAGCAAGCTCTAACCTCAACATCCAGTTTTCCAAGAAAACAGATTGTAACTTAGATCAAAATGTCAAAGATAACACGAGAGAGGAAGCTGGTAACGGGCACCAGGAACGGGCCCATGTCAAACACCCCAAGAGGCTGCTGTCAGAGGTGGTGGCTGCTCCGGCTGCCCGGACACTGCCAAAGGGCACCGGTATCGTCAGCGGCGGTGAGGCCCTTCCTCCTCTGTCATCACCCAACACTGACAGCAAAGAGGAGCCGTTCTGCACGGAACAATAGCTCTGCAACCTGTGTGCCAAGTGATGCAAGAGGGCAGCCATGCTAGTGCAGAGCTCGACCTTTTGGCAAAGCAAAATGGAAGAGACAAGTGTACACAGGCAACCACCGTGAAACCCCGCACAGCAGATGTAAAGTACACGGCTCCGGTGAAGAGCAGCTCTCATACATTGTGTATGAAAAACCCCAGCCTCTGAAACATCATCTGCTCCAAGTGTTAGCCTTTGCAGGGCATCACAGCAGGGGAGGGAGGAAAGCAGGGAAGAAGAGCTTGGGCTAGTTTGATTTCTCAACACTGCAGCTCATCGCAACTCAATTGTCTTGCTTTGTCTCTCCACTTGGGATAAATGCAAGTATGACAGAAGGAAACTATTACTGTCTAACCTGCACAGAGATAGCTCATCTTCAGCAGTTCTGAAGAAAAACAAACACAACATACAAGATGGCAAGCCAAAAACCAAACCATCAGCCAAAACCAAACCAGAACACTGCAGCATATGGAAATAAATGATAATCAGAAAGAATTACTTTGCTTTAGGAAAAGTCATTGTGGAAGAGCAATACTACATTGCTATGAACAACACCATGAATGCTTATGGCTAGCTAAACCAACTAAGGTCATTCCAGCTTCTTTCACCTGCAAAATTCAGTGACAGATTCTCTGCGATGCCCTTTCTGTCTCACAACTCCCCTTCAGCAGTCCCAAGAGGAGATCCAGTGAATACCTGCTTTGCCTGCAAACTGCATCGGTTACTGCCTAGCACTGCAGCTCTGTTCAACCACGGACTTTGCATTCCCAACTAAAACAGCATTCACAAGCTTAGCAGAGCATCAGAGAAAGGTGTGTCAATGTGTGCCACTGACACACCAGTGACTGATTCAAATCAAACACAATGAGCTGGGACGTTTATTGTGCATCTTTAAAACACTTTTTGCCTGAAGAATAGCATTGCCTACCTATTGTAACTCACAATACGTTCTGCTTACACCTGCGCAGTCCTCATTGTGTCTACAGCAAGGATTCGTACAACCACCCGCAGCTCCTTGTCAACCAGAAGCCAGTACCTGCTGCCGTTCCACAGAAGTCAGTGTAGGTGTGATGCCAACTGTCCGGGTTGCATCCATGCTGTTTTTGGTCAGTGCTAGAGGTTGATCCATGGTCAAGCTTGGGATTGAGGCATACATGTGATTGGCATGAAGGCTCATTGTCGGGGCAGCAGCCCTCTCTATGGGGCTGCGACTCCTCTCTCTGTGCTCCTTCCGAAAATCTCCATTAGCAGTCTTGTTTCTAAGGCAAGAAAGAAAAACAACATCAAAGGACTCACTATGGTTACAAGCTACAGCGAGGTACACAACACTGAATCCCTTCAAGAGGCAGGAGGCGATGCATTCTGCTGGGCCTGTGGGGAGGGGTAGAGAACCCCTCTGTGAGGTACCCCTGCCCTAGCCAGCCAGTGGTTTGCATCTGCAAGCTCTGGCAGCCAACAGTTTTCTTCAGCCTGGAATTCCTTCAGATCCTTAGCTAAATGCACGGAGTTTAAGTAACACCTCTGTTAAGATCAGACACCTCCTCATTTCACATACTGTTAATCCCGCTCTGTCTCCTGACACTGCAATATTCTCTAAGCATTACTAAAGCCCATGAAAAGTCTGTTCTCCTCAAAAGCCATGGCTGTGAGCAAAACGCAGTGAGTCACAGCAGGAAGCAGGATTTTCACAGCAGAAAAGGAAGGAAAAGCTAAACTGCACTTTTCCCAGAATCACTGCATTAAGCTATTCTTTAAAAAGAATCATTTCAAACTACTCCTGAACAATAGATCTCAGTAAATGTCCTTGCATCATCAGCCTGTCACTCACTGCAATTAAAATAATACTGATGTGGGGCTCATGTGTGAGACATTTCAGTTTCCACACATGGAAGGCAAACCAGCGAGCCACAGACATACAGCACTGTGAGGGGTTCACGTGCTGCAGCACCCAGTGCCTCAGTGCCACAGGGGAAACCAATCCACCTTTCACACAGGAAAGCACTGGAGAAGGCTGCTTCTATGCAACACACAATTCTGTCTTCAGAAGGTTCTTGAAGCAAGAGGGAAGTGTCCTGCGTGTAAGTGGGTAAAATCCAAGGTATTTTCCCCACTTTTAAAGCATATATTAATATGCAGGAGCAATCTTTAAAAGTGCTCTGATGAGTATTAGGCAGAGAAAAGGAACAGAGAAACGTTTTCTGTAGTACTAGAAATGAAGATCTATGGAGAGTAATGAAGTAAACTACAACTCCAAGAAGCCCCTGCCTACTGCAACATCAGAGAAAGCATCAAGAAGGCGGGCTGACAGCTGAGGGGAAAAGGAACAGAAGCCAAAGCCCTACCAGCAGAGGGAAATGAGGAACCCCGAAGCTTTACCAACCAAAATGCTACAGGAAAGCCCTGCAGGAGTGCCCCAGGAGTCGGGGCGCTCACTGAGTTGCACAGCATTTGTTTAAGCGCCTTTGGAGACCACACAAACCATAAGCTTTGACAGCATCCAGTGGCAATGGATTCTTCCATTTAAACTACACACTTGTTGGGTACCTTTTCTTCACAGGCTGGTTTTGTTTCTTTTAAACCTGAAATCTACTGAGGTGCTCTGCTATCACCTAGTTCTTGTACCAGGAGAGGCAAAGCCAAGGCTCCCTGCTGATCATCTTCACACCCCTCCTGGGTTCATCTCTGTCCAACAACCTTTTTCTCCCAGGTAATACTTCCTTCAGGTACAAACTGTTCCCTCACCTTTGCCATCCCTGTGCCCCTACTTGTGTTAGAGCTAGAGAAGCTCACTCTATCACCTCAATCTTTCTTGAGGTGAGGGTCCAGATCTTAGCTGCATTCAGGAACAGGACCTTTGCTGAGCTAATTCCCCAGCTTGCTCAGGAGTCACTTGGTTGTACAGAGATCTGCTATTGCCGCCTGAACCAAAACTCAATTAGCACGGTGGAAGTTAGGGTTAATATGATGCCAGGCAACCAGTGACTTCAGGACACAGCTTATTCTCTCTGCCAAATTCCCCTGATGTGCTTAGGAGGGAACAGTCAACAGAATAATACAATATGTAACCGTTCAGAACCCCCGGCTCTGCCTCCCCCCCTGCATCCCTTGTCCCTCTTAACTCATGACAAATCAGTAGCTGCTGATTAGCAGCATCGACCATAAAAACTAACCTTTAAAGTTTCACAGCTGGTGCTCAAGAGGTTCTCTGAACATCATGTGTTTCCTGAATCCTCCTTTGCAGGCCAGATTCAGACACAAAAGAGCAGCACACAAACCACCAGGAAATAACATTCTCACAGTGCTACATTTCCCTCTCCTGCCAGTGCTGGTCCCATTTCAATTCACAAGACTACTCTGCAGTATCAGCATTCACAAGAAAGACGTTTAGAATTGCAGTGCTCTGAGCTAATGACTGATGCAAATGTGTGACTCGAGGCAGCACAACAGACTCTATATTTAAAGTACAGTAGCCTCATCTAGAGTTACAGCACTGAGGCAGCCACTGAGCACAACAGCATCATCCATCACCACCCCTGAGGAAGCAAGGATGGACTTCACAGTGTGCCTTTGCTGGCTGGTCTGTACCTGGACAACAGCCATGAGATAGCCTGGGAAATAGCAACGTGAAAAGACATGGCTAAAATCATTGTTCAGGCGATAAAGGCAATGCTGTGTAGAGGGGGACTCCCTCTCCTTGCTGCAGTGCAGTTATCTTTGGTGGCTGCAAGCCAAAATCTTACTGTTCAACTAAGTATTATCGGGTCTACTACAATTCAAATAACCATTTGGAGGCTGCAAGCCCACATACAGCTCCAGCACATCCCTGCTTCTCCCTGCCTCAGAGGAAAAAAGTAACCCCTTCTCATCATGACTGTATTTTGGTCTAATGAGCACAAGCTGATTTTTGAAAGGAAAAAACTTGGTTTCCTCCACCCAAAAAATGCTTGTAAATTGAAGCACAAAATGCAGCCACACCAGTTGCTTGGGTTTTTTTCCTTAGAACTGGGGAGGGGGAAGGGCTGTCAAGTGACCAGCCATGCCCAAACCTCCTGAAATTCCCAAGCAAGAGACGTTTTCCAGTTGACACGACAGCACCTATTTCACTGCTCCGTACTTCACGCAAACAGCCACAGCCCCACATGTCTGTGAACTTGGAGGTTTTGCTGGGAAAAAAACAGCAAAGCAAAACAAAACCAAAACAACCCAAGAAAACTCTTCTGCAAAAGGTTTTTGGAAGCAGGGACCGGGAAAGTGGGAAACAGGCTCAGCCTGAGGCCAGGCAGCACAGCCCAGCACAGGCACCTTCCCGAAAGATACCCAGACTTAGGAAGCTCTCTCAGCAATCTCAGCACACCCCAGCCCCTCTGCAGGCACGTCACTCCCTCTGCCCGAATTAGAACAGCTCCTCTTCCGGGCAGGGCACTGTTCATATCCCGCTCCATCCACCTTCACCTACAGAGTCTGGGCAAAAAGCGAGCAACACCTGAAGCTTCAATTCCACATCAGACTGTATTTTCCCTGAGCCCAGCTGAAAATGCTCCAGCACCGCGTGGAACAGTAACATGATAGCTCTGCCCTTGTGAGAACACACCAGCACTTCTGAGTCCCTCCTATTGAAATATAAATAGCAAATCCTACAGGCATCTGACTCCACTCGTAAAACAATTGGGCAGAAAATTATTTATAGAGCAGTTAGCAGTCTCACATTATTAAACAATTTCAGTTGAAAATACAACTTCAAAACCAGTTTTAGATTAGAAACTGAAGGTTTGCTACAATATTATTAATATTATTATTATTACCATACTTGAGAGAAGCCATTCCTGTTTTGATCTTAGATGCTTTGCCTGAAGGGGCAATCAAAACAGCCTGTTTGAAGAGAACTGTATTTCACTAAAGTCAGTTATCTTAACAAATCCCCCCGCACTGAACAAGGGCAGAGATGCATCTCTTAGTTCAAACATAAGAGCAGAAAATTACAAAGAAGGATTTCTGACCATGTTTGAAAAATCACTTAAAAATACATGCTACAAATAAATCCAGCTGTCCAAACAGCATTACCATCCCCCAGCTCCACGCTGCCCTAAAGATCAGCATGTGTAACTCTGGACTCCATCTCCTGTGGCGAAGATGTCAGTGCACTCCATTCACAGTGGTGAGAGCCACCGAGCCAGGCACTGGGACACTGTCACCTCAGCCATGCCTACCAGCCTTCCTTCCCTGCTGACAGGGGCAGGCAAGCTGCTTGCAGGCTTCTTCTAGTAAAATTCTATGCCATTCCAACCTTAAATTCTTTTTCTCCAGCATTTGAAAAACAGACATTGTTTTCCATGTCTCTCCCCAGTGAATCATAACCGAGGCTCCAGCACTTACCAAGCATCATGTGCTCAGATGGATGTCATACCAAAACCACACACATCCTGACTGAGAGCTGCAAGTCTCCTGCAGTGGGGTTCTAAATACTGTTTGTTAATTGAAAGCCATGTTTGAGCCCTCCCCAGGAGCCAGTTCAAAGGTAGCTCAAATGCACTGTTCTGAGGATTTTGTTTTTGCTGTGCAACCTCTGAATGTGACTGTTCTGCTCCCCGGCACAGAGCGGCGGTAATTCACACTCATCCTACAGGAACAGGCTCACTCTGCCAGCTGCTGAAGGAAAAGGGAAAGAAAGAGGCCCACTGAAGGGGACAGTTTTGCTTGCACTCACTTCCAGCCTGCAGATCCTTAAGGAACAGATGCCAAAAGTATTACTGTACCTCCAAGTGAAGAAATCACAGACGTTTCACACTCCCTTTGGCAGAAATAGAGCTCTAACTTGGAATGGTTGTACTGTAGGAGTGTGTTTCACTCACACAAAGAACAAGTATCCACTTACAGTGCTTTTAATTGCCATGTTAGATGTTTTCTTTAAACATACACAGCACACAATATTGCTTAAGAGCAAACTTTCATCTCTGTAACCTAATTCAAATACAGTTTAAGTATTTTCATCATCTTTATAATGTACCTATTCTAACATATTTTACTTTATTTATTCACAAACTCTTAGGTCTGAAAGAAGACAGCTGCTTTTGTTACAGACTACTTAAGGATTTACAACCCACCACTATAAAACATCTTTTCCACATTATGGGGATAATTTCCTGCAAAAGTATCTACTTGTATACATAGATTCTGTTACTGTGAGGTGGGAATACAAGTACTGAAGGTCTTATTTCAAAATATGTATTTCCAAAGAGAAAAACCCTTACTCAGGATTATT